AAAAGTTGTCTTTTTTAAGGAAAACACTATTTTTCGAAACTTCCGGAAAAAGGGTTAAAAACAAGAAAACTCTAAAAGTATTGAAACGAGAAATGAATTGTTTTTTATAACGCTTTTCGTCGGAAATGACGGCAAACAAGAGTTAATCCTCGGAAGAAAGTCTTATCCATTGTCTCCTTAGTCCTAATCCGTGTCCTTGAAGGTCAAAGACGCGCACTTCAAGGTCAGCGGAGCGCAACAATAGTCTTCGAGAGCGTGAAAGAGGTTTTTGGGTGAAGTTTTCGGTGAGAAAGTGCGCCAACAATGAGAACAGCGGAACCATTATTGACGGCACGCTCTGACTGTCAATCGGTTTGTCGCCAATTATTAACCCCATTGTCTGCGCGCGAGTTGTGACACACTTTTGGCGCCATTTTCGAAGCGAAAACCGGTTTTCGAATTAGAGGTCAGGAAAGCAGTGGCGGAACGAAGAGAACCGAAGAGAACGCGAATCCGAGGATTACTGCGCAGAGTGTCCGCCGCTGTGACCCAGTGGGAGGCCACGCCCTCGGAATTGGTCTACAGATGCAAAAGTCGGTCATTTTGTGAGCAAAGAACCGGTCTTTGAGTCAAACAAACAGTTCTTCTCTTCTCGTCATTCAAAGCGAATCTCTCGACAAAAAAGATGCGAAAATCGCTTCAAATACTCGTCTTTTGTGCGCTTCTTCTCGCGGACCACCTCTTGGCCGCCTCTCCCGCGACCACGACGACCACGAAGGCGCCGCAGAAGCGCTATCCGGTGCGCACTTTCCTCGGAAACATGTACCACCGCTTCCGCAACAACCGCACGCCTCTCGTTCTCATCCCGACTGTCCTGCGACTCGCCTATCAATACGGAGGACCTCTTCTCGACCGCATGTCCTCCGCGTTCGGCTCTGGAGCTGCCAGTGCCGGGGGACAGGCAGCCGCGGCCGCCGCGGGAGGCGCCGCCGCCCCAGCGCTCGAGTCGTTCGTCGAGTCGGCCATTCAGGGCGCGATGGGCGGCGCGGGCGCGGCTTCTGCCCCGATGGCGGGTCTGCCATTTGGCGCGGGACTGCCGCCCGGCTTCGCGGCCCCCCTCGGCTTCGGAGGCGGCATTCGACCCGTTTTTCTGCGCCGAAGACGTCGATAGAGAGGAAAAGCGGAAAAAGTTTTTATTTATTTATAAATTATTTGTCTTTTATTTCCTGTAAATAATGTCCGAAATTTTGTACTTTTTTTGAAATAAAATCAATGTTTTTGTGAATGAAATCAAAAAGAAGAGAAAAACTTGAGTTTTTTTGGCGAATATTTTTGCAAAACTCGTTCAAACGCTAATGAATGCGAGTTTTGGTGTATTTCCGCGTCTCGAGAGCGCCGGCAGTCTTGAAGTGCTGTTCAATGCTCTCAACGAATGCCTCAAAGCTATGGAAAGCCTTGAACTTGAAGAGCGAGACAAACGGCTATTCATTGTTACGAATGATTGCGTAATGAATGCGAAAACCACTCAAAAGATGGCGCGAAAAGCGCGTGATTTCAGCCGAAGTCCGCCGAAGACAAGCGCAGCGCCAGAAGAGTGGCCAAAGTCATGAGGAACTGTCGGTGGGATCAACTGTGAGGTGATGTCTGAGTCTTTGGGGACAAAACACTCACCGAAAGCGAGATAATGACGAGAAGAGCGAAAGGCGTCAACGCTATGACACTTCCGTCGTCGTCCTCCTCCTCATCCCAGCCCTCTATGGGTTCGGGAGCGACCACTTCGAGGATGTCGACGGTGTCCTCGCGGAACGTCACTCTCTTTCCGGCGTTTTGTGCGCTTTTCGGTCGCGTTTCGGCGGAAAAGCGTTCGGTTTTGACGACGAAAAGAGTGTCGTCTTTGTGGTCGTAATGGAGATCATAGGCGACGCTCAGAGGCGACGAAGACGACAGGAATCCCGAATCTGACGACTCTTTGGGCACCAGGAGAGGCGTCTCGCGGGACACTCGCACCGGGAGGACGACAGGGAGGACAGGGATGAGAGACATTGTGTTGTGAAACACGGTTTCGATTGATTTTTCGCATAATTCGTGCGTTTCTTGCGATAAGAGAAGCGTTTGAATCGATTCCGAAAATAGCTCTGAATTTGTCGCCAAAAACAGTGTTTGGAATTCAATACAAAACTAATTATCTTTTCATCTGTTTGTTTGGCAACGCTTTGGCACCGATTCAGCGCTCATTCCGCACAACATCTGATACTCAAGACAGAGCTGTGAAGGGCGGTGCTCCCCCGCACCCCCTGTCCGCTTCTAGGGGGCTATTGTGGCCGAGTTTGGGGCACTTTTCGGCCACTCAGTGGACACGCAGTGCATAGAAAGGCATGTTTTTGGGGACGCAGCTATAAATAGTGCGAAAATAGCGTCGAAAGTAGGCTTTCCTTTGGGTGCCAGGTCTGGGACGTGACGTCACTCTCGCTTTCGATACTAAATATGAACTCATGTTTGGATTGAAAGCTATTTATAGCGACTTTTGGTCCAAATTTAACGCAATTTTTGTCTTCATTTCCACTTCTCTCTGAATTCGTTGCAAAGAAAACACAGAAAACAACAAATCGGCGAAAAATGGTTCGTATTTGCGGTCATTTCCGGTCTTTTGACTTCGGTTTCCGGTTTGTGGGGACAGGCGGACGACGCGCGAGCAAAGTTCGAGGACAAGGAGCGCAAGAAGGCGGAGATCAGGAAGCGTTTGGAGGCGCAGATGAAGTCCACGAAGAAGAAGGGATTCATGACTCCGGAGCGCAAGAAGCGGCTGCGGGTGAGTGTCTGTCGGGCTGTCGACGGCTTCTGAGCGCCACTTATGACCGACTCTTTCAGCAACTGTTGCGCCGAAAAGCGGCGGACGAAGTGAAGCGTCAGCAGGAGTTGAAGGAGAAGGAGAGGCAGCGCATTATCATCGAACGCACGGGAAAGCCGAAGTCCACGGCCGACGCCAACGAGGGTAGGGGTGGGTGTGTGTGTGGTCGCGACTAATGTTTGTAATCCTTGACAGCGAGTCTGATGGCAATGTGCAAAGAGTACTACAACCGGATCTACAAACTCAACGAAGACAAGTGGGACCTCGAGCTCATCACCTGCATCAAGGAGTACGAGGTGAGGGCGGGGTGGGGAGGGGGCTACACATTGTAGCGGTGTTCTGATTCTCCTTTTTGCAGATCAGTGACTTGCAGTCGCGCGTGAACGACATGAGAGGAAAGTTGTGAGTATTTCCCGGAAAGGGAGCGAAAGCGGGACTCAAACCGGGATTCTCTTCCCATAGCATAATCCCGCCGCTGAAGAAAGTGTCCAAATATCAGACGCAGTTGGAGAAGATGCGGCAGTGGACCTACAAGTTGGCCAAAATGGACTTGAAAGGGGGTCTGAAGCCCGTCAAGAAGGAGATCGACCTCGGCGAGAAGGAGGTGCGTGTTTCGGTGGTGATTGTCACCCGAATTGATCCCATTTTGTGTCCCATTAGGCGAAGAAGGAGAACAAGCCGGAATGGGTTGCGGGGAAACAATAGGCTGTTGGCGCGAGACCTTAGAAACCAATCAAAAGACTAATCCTTGAGTTTTGAAAGTTTTAACCGTTTTTTCGAGCATTCCTTTCGGCGAATGATTTGAAGCTAAATATTATTGTTTTAACAAAACTGTAATCAAAAGCAATTAATAAACACTTCTTTGAGTCTATTTTTATGCGCTTTTTTATGGCATAAAATTTATGCGATTTTTAGCACTTTTTTCGCTTCAATTCACTCATTAAGAGAACAATCAAAATATTTTTATGAAATATGAGACAAAAATAGCGCAAAAAATGTGATATAAAAGCGTTGTTTCACTCCTTTTGCGCTCATTTTCGGAGAAGGAGTCGAAAGAAGCGGAAAATGGTTTGACTTTTGAGTGAGTTTTGGACCAAAAATGACCGCAATTTGGATTACAGGACGAAAAGGCGCGAAAAAAGCAAGAAATCCGCGAAAGACTCGAAGCGGAGATGAAGTCCACGAAAAAGAAGGGATTCATGACTCCGGAGCGCAAGAAGAAGTTGCGGGTGAG